TGTGCGCTTGATATGGACAAGTAAGTTGGAAGCAGATCATAGGCATGCTAGATTTGATAGCTACTCTAAATGTCACTAGGATGGATTATTTTATGATCTCAAAGATAAAAGTTGATTGTTTTCACTCACTATTTATCTATAGGAGAATCATATTATGAATCACATACCTAGTAGCATAATGTTAGAGAATTTGGTATGAGTACCAGGTGTACCACATGTGAACACACTTATTATAGAGATTGAGAATAATATATGAATTCCCTATTGATGCGTTAGCATCATCTACTACACAAATTCTTGCATCGGTACATTGATGTAGTGGGAGGATTATCATCCAATTCGACAGAATCATGTTTTTAGGTGAGACCATTATGGACATCCCTGTTAAACATGAGTTGGACCCAGTAAGCTACACGGAAGCGTGAACTGATGTGGATACAGATCGTTTTGGTGAGTTACTATGAAATCAGAGTTGGAATCTATGTATTCTAATAAATTCTGGGATCTTGTAGAACTTTCTAGTAGGGTGATTCCTATGGAAGGCAAGTTAATCTACAAAAAGATACCAGAAGATTTCTTAGTGAATAAATCATGAGTATACAAGGGAATGTTATTATTTTTCTTAATTCTATATATTGATGACATCCTACTCATTTATAATGACGTGGAAGTTTTGTCATCAATTATAAGGTAGTTGTTCAATTACTTTTAAATGAAGGATTTTCAAGATGTAAGCTATATTCCTAGGATCAAGCTTTTGCAAGATCAGGTTAAAAGGAAAATAGGCTTATCTTAATAATCCTACATTGATAAAGTTTTGACCAGGTTTGGTATGCATAACTCAAAGAATGAGTTCTTACTTTATTGATATGGATCGCTCTCTCTAGTAAGTAGTTTTTCAAGACTAGCAGAGGAGATTGAGCAAATGAGACTGGAACAATATGTTTCGGCATATGAGAGTCTCATATATGCCATGGTCTATACCAAACAGGACATCCGCTACATGGTAGGGATAGTCAGTAGAGATCAGTCCAATACTGGACTTGACAACTGGTCTATTGTGAAAAATATCATTAAGTACCTAAGGAGAATCAATGATATCATACCCATTTATGGATGTGATGATATGGTCCTAGTCAGGTATGCTAGTTCTGATTTTCAATCAGAAGTAGATACTATGAGGTTCATGACTTAGTGTATGTTCACTTAATGGAAGGGAAATCAGTTGGTAGATTGTCAAACAGATTTCAACTGTTGACTCAAACCTGCAGGTGGAACATATTGCAGCCTTAAAGGTGGCAATATAAGCCTATTGGTTTGATCTCACTGATTTAGAGGTTGTGGAGCATACTAGCCTGCCTATCGAGCTATATTGTGACAATAGTGCAGAAGTAGTCCAAACCAATGACACAAGGTTCCATAGAGGAACAAGATACACTGAGAGGAAGTATCATGTTCGACATGATATTGTCCGGCAAGAAAATGCACTTGTAGTTAAAACATTGCATTGGAACACAACTTTGTTGATCCATTATCAAAGGTGTGATTGATCAATAATTTTGATCATCATCTGGATAACATTGAAGTTAGGTGCAATTTGAATTGGCTATGAGGGCAAGTGGGAGCTGTTGGGATTTATATGCCCTGGCATAGCAAATTCCTATCTGGATTGTATTGACATATGTTCCTGACATATCTGAAATATTTATGATTTATATAATTGGTGAATTCAATATATTATGTTTCAATTCACTATGAAATTGATAGTGTCCAGTTAATTACAAGAAATATTTATATATATGTATGTGATGACAATCAATGCATGATATATAAATAGTAATTATAAATTGTTCATAGTCGGTAATTATGGATGGACTCATAATTAATTAAGACTTGAACTGGATCCGCGTTAGGTTGAGATATATTGCGAGAGCCGTCGTATGCAATTACTCCCTATCACCGTCATGGCATTTGACTCTTAAGCATGAAAAAAGTATAGACTCTTTTATTAATTAATAATTACTTTGATTTGTTCGGCGGATTCTTCGGAATCCTTAGACCGACACTTTGGGTAGTTATGTAATTAATAGTTAGAGGGTTATATTTTCAATATTTGCATCATTGCTACTTGTATTTATTTTGTATTGATTATGGTTGATCACAAAGTAAATTCGAAGGCCTTCGTGTGTTTTTAGACAAAATGATTTATTATATATTTATTTATTTAAATTATTATTTTTGTCAAACAAATGTTTTATTGTGATCGAGCCAGAAATAATCAAAGGTACCAAAATAAATATATTAATTAAGTAGTCGGATTGATGGCTATATTTATCCGATAACTAATTATGCATAGAGGGGTCAAAGTGCAATATTGACTTAGAGGTTATTTATTATTTAATTGGAGTTCAATTAATTTCTTTTAGTGGAGTAGAAATTAATTTATGAATTAATTGAATTGGGTCCATGGACCGGGCCAATTATTAATTCATTGTAGCCAATAAAATAATAGGCCCAATGGATTCTCACTCATAGCCTAACTTGATATTGGAATCATATTAGATTTGAGACATATGAATTAGAGATGGAGAAGGATTTGTTGTTTCCTTTTCTTTATTTTTATGTTGCCTATAAATATACATGGTCTATATATATTTTAGGGTGTGATTTTTATGAGAAGGAAAAAGGAATAAATTTTCTCTCTCTAGAAAATTAGGGTTTATGTTCTCATCTAATGGAGGCTCCCACAAGCCTAGTTTTCCAAGGTCATTCATGGAGGCATATGAGTGATTCCTAAAGGCAAAAGAATTACTAAGAAGATGGAGATCCATGGAAAAGGTGTCTAGCAAAAGGGATCTACAATAAGTGAGAACATTCACTTTAGAGGAGAGATCTAAGGTTTACTCAAACCTTGATGTAAGTATTCAATCTTTTAATTGAATGATACATCATGTTTTATTTTTGCATAAAACTTGTCTCTAAGTGATGAATCAAGATCTATGAATTTAAATCCCTCGAAAAGTTTTTAAAACTAGTACGTTTCCCAACACTTCTCACTTACCCTACTTTTAGACTTTGTTCTTTTAAACTTTGTTCAAAGTTATATGGTAAGAAGTGTCTTGTTTGCTATTCTCTTTACCAAACTACTGAACTAATATCAACAATAAGTCTATAATAGTATAAGAAGCCCTTACGGGTTAGCTCTAATGATTCAGGAATACAAAAAAATCTGCACGAGTTGCTGTTAGTAAAGTTACATATTCAAAAAGTGATAGTTATTTTAGGACTATTAAAAAAGTATTACGTTAGAATTTTAAGAGAAAAAGAGAACCTATTATATTTCATCATTATATAAACATTTGATTTACCTTGATGAATTAAATCTTGAAAAGAAGGAGAAAATATACAATATCTCAGATTATTTTGACATGTGTTATTCTTCCCAATAAGAACTTTTTATTTTTCGTAAAGTATACAATAATTTTAATGTATTTTGATTCATGTACCTTTCTGAATCAATAAAATTTCTTGATATAATAAAAAAATGAGAAGTTTTCGAAACAAATGAAATAGGGTGAAAAAAAGAAAGAAAAAGAAGTAACTTTATGGACACTCTAGTCTTTGCTAACTTGCTCACTTGATTTTCTATGAAGTGTGAAGGCTGCGTTTAGTAACGAGAAACGATTCTTATTTTCTGTTGTCAACCTCTAAAATGACAAAACGAAAACAAAAATCGCGTTTAATAAAATGTTTTTGTTTTTCTATAACAGAAAATGTTTTCAATTTTTGTGGAGAAAAGAGAAAACATCAAAATGATGTTTCTTATGTTTTCGGCACTGTAGCATAGAAACTTTTTCATTAATGTTAGTGCACATGCACTATTTATTTTAAATAAAATTCATATTATTTGTGTTATATACTAAGTTGCATACTAAATGTTAATATATATATATATATATATATATATATATATATATAATAAATTAAATATTGTATATTATTTTTTATTTGATAAAAATATATTTTAATATATAATATATTAAATAATAATGTAAATGATTTTTTGTGACAAAATAATTTTTGATGTAAAATGTAATGTTATTAAATTATTAAGCACTAGATATTTTATATTATTATATATCATATTTATATTATATTATGTGTAAATATTAAATTATAATTAATTTACAATATTATAAGACAATATATATTTTATTACATATAAGATATATTATTTAATATTTTTTATTCATAATAAATTATCATAAGCTAAATATATTATATATCATATAATAAATGTATACATCATGCATATACATGTATTTATATACATAGTTAGTGGGAATGTTTTTGTCTTGGTATATTTAATTTTGTACTTATGATGTATCGGGTATTTTTATGATTTATAATTTTAAATTAAATTTTTTAGATTTATGGCTTTTTAATATTAATGAAAGCAAGTGTCGTGCCTGAGTGGTTGAGTTGTTCTCTGTGTTCGAGAGTTCGTGTTTAAATCATCTACCCTCCCCTTTAATCACTACCTCCTAAAATTCTTGTCATGAAAAAAATAAAATAGAAATGAAAAAAATAAAAAATAAAATAAAAAATTTAAAGAATATTATGTACATTTTGTAATAAATATGTTATATTACTAAACACAATTATTATTTTATATTTTTAAATTTATGACAATAACAAGTATTAATAAATATTATTTTTATTATTTATTTTTATTCAAAAAAATAAAATTATGTTTCTATTTTTTTTAAGAGTATAGAAAAATAAAAAACATACATTTGGAAGTGCCTCTGCCTAGCTCATTCTGGAAAGGGAGGTTTAATTAAACAATCAATTTGCCGCGTCCACGTGTATTATTAATTAATAATTTGCTTTATAATAGTATTTGATGATGACTTGTGTCACTAAAGATCGCAAAAGTCAGCATTGTCATACTCTCCTCGGTGAACAAACCCCCCCCACCCCCCGGGCGCGTTCCCCCGCGTTCTCTCTCTCTCCAAATCTCTCCCTCCCTCCCAAGGTGTATAAATAGGGGGAGTCACCATACCCTTCTCAGTCATCCATCCCTTGAATTGAGCAGAACAAATCACTTATAACAATTCACTCCATCTTTATTTCAAAATGGCTTACTCCAAAACTTCGGTTCTTTTTCTTGGACTTCTGTTTGCTGTCATGCTTGTCATTTCCTCCCAAGTGTCAGCTAGAGAACTAGCCGAGGCAACCCAAACACGTGAGTAGTTCATTCCTCACTTATATATATGTTTGTGTATCAAAAAAAAAAAAAAAAATATATATATATATATATATATATATTATTTCATAGGGCTTTGCTAATCACAGTTGTCTGGGCGACTGTGACTGTGGCTTTACAATTATTTGTCTTATTAGTATAAGAATAAGATTCCATTAAATGCATTAATTACTTAAATTTCTATTTTAGTAAAACTCTACAAATATTACTTTTTTAAATAAATATACCCTTTTAAATTATCTAACCTTTCTTCTTCTCTCCCCTTTTAATCTATCTATATGAAAATGTGTGTGCGCTTGTGTGTGTCTATATATATATATATATATATCCATATGGAAATGTGTGTGTGTGCGTGTGTGTGTGTATATATATATATATAAAATAACTATTGCCATGTGAATGAATTCTGAAAAAGGAAAAAAACTACAGTTAGGATAATCCATTCTCAAGAGATGGATTCTGAAGAAAAAAAAAAAAGGAGCTAGAACAAAATCCGAAAAGAAAAAATAATAATAATAAATAAAAGAGAACGAGAAAAGAATCCATATACATGATAGATTCTAAGATTTTTAAAAAATACAAAATTAGTTATATATATATATATATATACACACACACACACACACGTGTATATTTCTTTTTACAACTATTTTGGTGAATGAATTATTTGTTTTTTTAAAAAAATCCATTTAAAGAAGGATAGTTGTAAAAATAAAAAATAAAAACAAAAAGAAACATATATATATATATATATATATATATATATAACACGCACACATTTTCATATGGATAGATTAAAAGGGGAGAGAAAAAGAAATGTTAGATAATTTAAAAGGGTATATTTGTTTTAAAAAGTAATGTTTGTAGAGTTCTACTAAAATAGAAACTTAAGTAATTAATGCATTTAATGGGATCTGATTCCTATACTAATAGGACAAACGATTGTAAAGTCACAGTCGCACAAGACGACTGGTATTAGCAAAGCCATATTTGATATGTAGGTATGTTAAACATCTTTATTCAATGTTTCATGATATTGTAAGCTAGTATAGGAATTGAAGAAATTTGACTTTTTTTCCTTTGATTTTAATTTCTAGACTCTATTGTTGCTTAGTAAGCTATTAGTAAGCATATTAGTGATGAAAATTTTAAGGATTTCATTAATTATCTTTTAAAGAGATTGGATCACAACTAATTTCGAGACTGATTATATTTTACAGAGGAGATTGTGGAGGAGGCCAAGCATTACGAACATGGAAAAGGGCACGGGTATGGACACGGATACGGACACGGATACGGAAAAGGACATGGACATGGCAAACCTGGCCATGGTGGTCACCCTGGACATGGTGCTGGTGAAACCGAATCCGACGAGAATTAGATGACTCCTGCACGCCCCCAATGGTACTTGTACTCGTGTATTGCGAAAACTAATTAATCAAGTATGTGTATGTTTGCTTGTGTGTCAATAAGGCATGGTATGAAATTGCCACATTAGTACGTACCGTTGGTGGAAGAATATGTAACAGTTGAGTAGTCCCACGGCTTCATTTCTGTGTCTTCTTCATGTGCCTTTGTATCTTTTATGCATCAATGCTGGACTTGAGTTACTTCAATTACTTGCTCTCCAAAGTTATTATTTGAAATTTAACAGGGATCCGAAAAGCAAAAAGTGAAAAAAAAAAAAAAAAAAAAGTTTAAACAGTAAAAAATTTAGTGACAAGAAAGAAAGATTTAATGGCCACTAAAGTTGATGATAATTAAGGTCGGACATTAAATAAGAAGGAACAATAAGGCCACTTGGATGATTCAATCAAGTTAGGTGCCTAGAAAGTGACTTTGGTTTACCTTACACTGGATGTGGAAAGTAGAAGTTACACTGAGGCTGCCCTTTGGATTGAGTGATTCGGAGAAATTTGGAAAGAAAACAAAAGAAAAATAATGAAAACCGGGATAACTTTGAGTAGAGAGAAAATAAAGAATTGTGAGAGATTTTGAGGGATAACCGTCCCTCCCTCCAAGTCTCTCATATGTTATCCTCTTAAAAAAAATAAGAAGATTTGGAGAGAAATGTCGGTAAGTAAGCAGTATTTTCATAATCTCGAAACTATTATCATATAATAATTGACTGTTACTATTTTTTTTTTTCCTCTTATAATTTATCCAAACATGAATAAAGGTAAATATTATTCTTTCTTTTCTTTTCTTTTTTCTCAATTATATCATTTCTTTTCTTTTTTCTTATGTTTATCTAAATGAAGCCTAAATTTTTCAAATGTGGGTCTCACGATTCCAACCAATTTTCTAAAAATATATAAATGCCTAACTATATATATACACACAATATATAGAGAGAGAGGAAACCTTAATCTCCGGCAACCGGCAATGCATATTCCGGTGATCTGAATATCGTCGACTAGGCCTTGCTTTTCTAGATTGATCTTTAGATTAACTGACCTTTATGTCCGATGAGTTTGAACGTGTTCTTACAAAAGCTGCTAATGGCCCAGCCCAACATATGAGAAAATGTTATGTGGGCTTGGACTAGTGCCCAAATCCAGTAGTGCATTTCAGTCTACTTAGGTCTAATCCATTGGATCTTGGAATTTGGTCATAAAAATTGTGTGGACAAGATCCTCTGTCCAATATATATATATATATATATATTTATATATATATATATATATATGTATTTGAAGGTTGAAAATAGATCACATTATCTTTTCGTGAAATTGTGTATGAAACAATAACATAAAGGATAATTAACGAGTGAAGACATGACACGTTTGTAATTGTTGAATTTGGACCTTTAGATACTTGGAAAGGAAATATGTTTGGACAGGATTCATTTAGATTAAAATATCATTCAAAATTTTAAAAGAGGAATTCCTCAATTACGGAATAGAATTTAAAATTTATTCGACGGAATGAAATTTAAGTTCTAAAATTAAAATTAGTGAAATTAAAAAAAAAAAAAAAAAAAAAAAAGAAACTTAAAAAGTAGAGTCAAAGTAAAAGAAAATTTGACTCTACTTTGACTCTACTTTTTAAGTTTATTTTTTATTTTTATTTTTTTTCAAAACTTCAATTTCATGTAATTTTGGAACATAACTTATAGGATCAATTGAAAGTTGGCATGCTTCTAGGACTAGAAGCACTTTTTCACCTATATGGTTGTATGTGTACATATTATATGTGAAGATGTGAGCAATAACATAATTTATCTTATCAAATTAATATAAAGGTTAATATTAATAGTTTTATGACAATAAGATAAAATTAATTGATGTTAGCAAAGTGCATTTAGTTCAGTGGTATAACTTTACAATTATCAGGAAGAGGGTGTTCAAGCTTGCGTGTAGATAAAAAATATTTGAGTGTGTGTGGGTGTGTTTTTTTGTTATAGAAATAGAAAAAAAAATTTAATGGGCAGTGACCCAGCAATATTAGGTCCCTACTTCTTAAAGAGATATTAGGGATTTGAACCTCAGTGAACGCATGAGTACGTAGTATCAACTAAAAAATAATAATAATAAATAATAGATGTTATGAATTGTTTGAATGTTTATTGCCATTTTTATAAGAGTCCAGTTGAAGAATCACATTGAGGTAAGTAATAGGGCTTGCTTTTTTGTAACTCTAAAAATTACTTTTAGAAAATTAAAAAACAGATGATAGTTTTCAGAGAATTATAAAAGACTTTTCTCTTAAAATAAGTCTTTTTATAACTGAATTTTCAAAAGACTGAATTAAGTATAGTTTTTTTTATACAATTTTTTGTTTTCAAAATTTTTATAACAGAAAATTGTTTTCATAATTACAAACCAAACAAGCCCTTGCTATAAAAGTTATTATTGAAATTTTATATATCCCAATTAAATCATTAGAAGTCTAAGCACACATTTGGCACGTTCGGCAAATCAATTATGGACATCATTTTAGAGGGTTTCTCTGTAGTTTTAGGTGTTGTCTACCATATATATTCATCTTGAAAAAAAATCTATATATATATATATATATATATATATATATATATATATTCATCTATTGCAAAACTGAATACACACTCATTAATAAACAACAACATTTCAGAATTTTCTTTAAACTAAACTTTGTGAATTAAAAATTATTTTATTGTTCATTTCATGAGCCGTCATACCTTTCGATCAATCAAGTTCGTTTCATTCGATTGGGATTCAAAAAGTCTTTCTTATTTCTGTTTTAATTACATTAAAAACATCCTTTAAAAATAGCAAAAAGTGCAAGAAAGAAAACACAAATGAATATGGGCACGTACGGGAAACTTTCGTTATGAGCTTACTATCACCCATATACTTTTGAAGTTTTATGAAGATTAAGCTGCGAGAAAAACAAATGTCCACCTAAATTGTCTACATGACTTGTATATTCTAGACACTTAAATTTTGAATAATTGTATAAATTTCTCTAGAAATTTGTTTTTTTTTGTAACTATGGGATAGACATGTTGAGATATGTGTGTCCTAGTGTAGCCAATTCTTATTTTGGATTGTAAAAGTCGTGGTTCCTTATCTGAATATTATTATTAAAGCATTATACAATTAGTGAATGGAATGTATTACTTTTCGATTCATTATAGAATTGATTGTGTCCACTTGATTACAAGATATATTTATATATGTATGTAATGACAATTAATACTATGTTATAAATTAGTAATCATAAATGGTTCAAAGTCGGTAATTATGGATGGACATTTAATTAGTTAAGACTTGAACCGAGTTCACGATAGATTGAGATATATTGCGAGAGCCGTCGTATGCAATTGCTCTCTATCACAGTCATGACTTTTGACTCTCAAGTATGAGAGAAGTATAGACTCTTTTATTAATTACTAATTATTTTGATTTGTTCGGCTGATACCTCGGGATCCTTAGATCGACACTTTGAGTAGTTATGTAATTAATAGGTAGAGGTCTATATTCTCAATATTTGCATTAGTGCTATTTGTATTTATTTTGTTTTGATTATGGTTGATCACAAATTAAATTCGAAGGCCTTCGTATATTTTAGACAAATGTTTTCTATATATATATTTATTTAGTAAATTATTATTTTTGTCAAATAAATATTTTATTGTGATCGAGCCGGAAATAATCAAAGGTAACAAAATAATTATATTAATTATGTTGTCGGATTGATGGCTTTAATTATAAGATAAATAATTAAGTATGGAGGGGTCAAAGTGCAACATTGACTTAGAGGTTATTTACTATTTAATTGGAGTGCAATTAATTTCTTTTAGTGGAGTAGAAATTAATTTATGAATTAATTGAATTTGGTCCATTGTTTAATGGACCGGGCCAATTATTAATTTATAGGAGCCAAGAAAATAGAAAGCCCAAAAGGATTCTCACCAATAGCTCAAGTTGATATTGGAGTCCTGTTAGAATGAGAAAGTTGAATTAGAGATGGAGAATGATTTAATATTTCCTTTTCTTATTTTTATTTTGCCTATATATACATGGGTCCATATATATTTTAGGAGTGACTTTTAGAACAAGAAAAAGGAATACACTTTCTCTCTCTAGATTTTAGGGTTTGTTTTCTCTTCTAAAGGAGGCTACCACAAGCCTTGATTCCAAGGTCGTTTATCAAGGCATATTGGTGATTCCTAAAAGGAATATCATAATCAAGAAGAAGGAGAAATGAACTTGCTAAAAGGATCTACAATAAGTGAGAACATTCACTTTAGAGGAAAGATTAAAAGATCTACTCAGACCTTTGATTTAAGTATTCAATCTGTTTATTGAATGATACATCATTTTTTATTTATTTTTGTATAAAACTTATCTCTATGTGATGAATCAAGATCCATGATTGCAAATCCCTCAAAAGTTTTTAAAAAACTTGCACGTTTCCCAACAGTGGTATCAGAGCATGGTTTGATTCATTACTAGAGATCATGTGTTTATCAGAATTATCTTCATGGATCCAAATTATATTTACATATATATATATATATATATATTTATTTATTGATGTATGATTTATTATATTGATATATATTTATACATGATGATGTATGTATAATTGTGAATGGATGATAATGTGTGTTTGGGCCACGGATCAAGCTTATAGGTATATTGAATATAATTTTATCTTTGGATGAATGTAATTAAGGCTTTGATTTAATCGTTTGAAAATTCAATGATGTAATTTTATTTTTTCCATTGTATTACAAATTGTAAGTATTTATTAAAGTCATTTAATATTCATCAAATGATGCTATGAAGCTTTAAGAAATTCTGAAAGGGTTAAATTATGCTTCAGTAATTTTTTGGAATTTTTTCTGGAATTTTTTTAGGTTTAATTTAATTTTTTGGAATTTTTCGTATTTTTCTGGGATTTTTCGGCCTTTTTCCGGTGGCCGGAGCATCACCGACAGCGAGAAGTGGCGTTGGAGGAGGCTGGAATCACATGTGATGCAGGGAAGGTGAGTTTGGCGCGTGTTCCTTACGCGCCAGAAGGTGGCAAATTGAGAACAAGCTGGCTTGTGCATTTCACGCGCCAGCCAAAGTTTTTTCTCCTCCGTGGGGGCGCGTCCCACGCGTCCTAGGCGCGTGCCAGCGCGTGG